GGCGCCGCTTTGGTCAACGCACGTTGCCTTTTGTTTACTTTTAATTTGATCACTCTACTTTTTTCCCCCTAATTTCGAAAGTTCTCTAGTTTTTTAACTTGTGCGCAATTTTGTAATTAAGCAATTTGACCGCAGCTAGCAAAAGTTTAACGCAAATGAAGGCAGCGTAATTGTTTTTTTTTCTTTTTGTTTTTTTCATTTCGTTTCCACTTAAAGGGAGTGTTTAAGGCTACTTTATCAGACCCACCTCAAACAGCTGAGACAGGCATGTCAGAAGCATGAGTCGATATCAACAGACGTTCAACGGACAGTTGGACAGCTCTGCAACATTTTTCGACCGTCATTTGCAACAGCAGAGCAAAAGTTTTCACAATATACATTTATAATAAGCTACTTATATAAAAGCACAGCAGAAACAATAGTCGAGTGTGTTGACAGGGCATATACCCTTAAATGAAGTCCCAATTGGACTGATAAACTTTCGTATTTTATGCGTAAATATACTCATACGCAAGAAAGGGAGACAGATATAGAGCGACAGACAATTCAATTATATTATTATATTATGCAATGATCCCTACTTTACTTGAGGTCATGAAAATCGCATAGAAGAGCGTTATTTAGAAGGGAATCAAAAGTTGGTTTAATATATATGTACATCATTCAATGAGTTACACAGTGCATGTTGAAGTGAATATACCTCATTCCAGGGTATGCAAAGCGTAGCACCCCTTTGCGAGCAGCTCAGCACTCAATGCCAAGAGCAAACAAACAGCTCAAAAGTAGTCGAAAAGAAAAACGCTTATCTGCAATTGGCTTCGTAAAATATACGAAAACATATTTAAATTTCCCCACAGGCAACAAGTGCCGGGGCAACAGCAGGAACAGAACAAAGTCAGTCAACTAGTTGTCTCCCATGCGGGCGGCTCGAAGCACACACACACACACATATAAACACCAACACGCCCACTCAACCAACTGCCAACAAGCAAGCAAACAAATACAAGCTAAAGCGTATGCAAATCAAAGTTATTGTCAGGCCAAAAGTGTCTACCGATGCGTACAATTGAGTGTCATATTTCCAGTTTGTTATATATGCAAAGGCAACGGAAAACTGAGCTACAACATGCCGCCCACACGCCAACCACACCCACTCCCACTCCACATATGAGGTCCAACTTTATGCAAGGGTAAACTCAAGTCTAAACTTTTTTATTTCTCGTTTTTTTTATACTTAACTTCTTGCGCTCGTTTTTTGGTCATGCAACTTGTTATCATTGTTGCGTGCCTAAAAGCCAATGGAGAAATGAAACTTTGCCAACGAACAGCGGTAATGCAAACATTTATGCTACGCCAGGATTAACATAACAACAAAAATAACAACCTGTGACATACGCGCCAATCCAAACAGTGTGTGTGTGTGTGTGTGTGTGCGCGCATGCAATCAATGGTTATCCAATTTTAGGCAACATTCTAAAAGTGCTCAAACTTTTACCTTCGACTATAGCTATTATTCTTATACAGTCTTATAAGGCTATAATAAATTTGTGCAAATATAAGAGAGGGATGGGCAGCAGAAAGCAGTGAAGGTACGCTTGAGTAAATATGATATATCCTGTTATTCGTGTCCGTCTATATAGTCTTGCCATCTAAAGAAGAGTTAAAGCCGTCCAATTAAATCTACATGTATAATTCAAAGAGTCTAATTTTCTTCCGATTAAAGTAAAATTTAGTATATTTGAAATAAGTTTGTATATGTTATTTAATATAAGGGTATCTGCTAGTCGACTTTATCTTTCTTATTTCCCAACTACACTTACAAGGCATAGGGCATATTCTGCATACTCCTCACATCTGATTAAATTACAATTTAATATATTTGAAATTATTTTGTATATGTTATTTGATATAAGGGTATCTGCTAATCGATATCGACCGACTTTATTTTTATTTTTATTTGTCGTACAAGGACCTTTACATATTTTGAGCTCTACATATCGCTTATTAGTGCATCCTTTTCTTTAAATATAAAATTATATTAGCTAAAGGTGCTGCTTTATTATAAACGGATCTTCTAGACACAAGTAATACATTTTTATATATACGAGCTGGATATGCCCGATTCAAGTATTTTATTCTAAGTTAAGACATTAGCTTAAAAACACACTTGTGAACAATGAGGAAGCGAGGTAATAAATGATGATTAATTGGGTGTAAATACATTTTAAATTGAATTACTTTTTGTATTCCAAATAACAATGGGAAGGAAAATTCTAATACGTAATTGCCTTTGTCAGCTAATAACAGCAAACATTATTAGTCTACCAAGGCAATAGCTCACTGTAGTGTAACTTCATAAATACAGTGAAAACTCACTTGGGCGGACAGAGACCGTCGAGTAATTTTAGATCACCCAAGAGGAGTTTGGCTTGATTTATATTGGTTTGAGAGAAAATATACGCCCAAGCGTGTTGTCTGCCCTAATAGAAATGTCCATTATGCGAGTTTTTACTGTATATCCAGCTAACGACAATTTAATACACTAAGTACTTATATAGAGAACATGGTGTTTGACAGTTCATGCGTGAATGTGAGCGAGGTAGAGACATTAAAATAAATATATGCGTTAGAGTGTTCGATGGCAGGTGTAATGCGTCGTCTTCTAAAAACGCCGAGCTTTATGAATAATTTACAGATATTTACGAGCTCGACAGGCACTTAGAAAGGTCCTGCTATGGCCACAACACAAAGGAGACACGACAATCAAGTAATGATACGAAGCGTCAGCTCTTGCGGTTTCTCATACGCGCAAAACATTTTCGAATGTTGGAAATGTGCAAAATGTCATGTGGTTGTGAATACGAAATGAATTACATACATATATGTACATCAAAGGGTATTCAGAGACGCCTTTAGCTGCATACATTGTCATTATTTCTTTTGTTAGGGTAGTTGTTAAATCCATAGTTAATACACTCAAGAGTTGACGTCATGCTACGTTTGGTCAATGTATAAAAAGTTTTCTGTCTTTTCGGGCAAAAAGCATAAATTAAAACTTGTAGCATGCCCTTCATGAATCCAATCTCGGACAATAATATATGAAATGCCGAGAAAAAGAAATTAATTCACGACCCTTGGCGCTTAAGTCCATTAAAAATCATTCCGATCAATGTGAGTGGGGGCGGCGCACATTGCGATTTTCTCACAATTAGCATTTTGGCATCCACTCCAGCTTTCACCAGCCGCCGGCCCGTATACACATACACGCGCGTACACACACACACACACACACACACACACATTCACACACCTGGCCAACAAAAGCGAACGAAACGATTGAAACATTTTTAAAAATTTGAAATTCATATGCGCAACAAACGTGAAATGTTTTGTGAAGCGTATTGGGCAATAAAACCAAAACCAAAAAAATATCAAGAATACTCTACTCGAAACTGCTCGACTACGAAATACCCAAAATCTTCTATTACCAAAACTAGAAGCAGCTCGCGCTACGCAATTAATGCTTAAGCCAACAATATTACATTTTTACTTATTTATTGAATAAAGGTAGAAACTGACATAATAAAGCAAATAATAACTCCCTCTGCTGGATTTGAACTCGCACTTCCATCATCCGAACGAACTAACTGCCTTCGCCTCATACCTTAAGGTCATATAAGTAACTTTCGAAGTTTATCGGAAGCCAAATACAACTGAATTAAAATAACAGAACATATTACAGAGATTGTTAAAATTCGGTAAAGAATACACGCATATGAATGTATTTACGTCAAGCATACAGATATTATTGCGCTAGCTGTGAGATAGGGGGCGGTATCCAATAAATGTTATATACATGAACCGAAAAGCTATAAGGCTCTTCAAACCGAAAAGAAAAAGCAGGATTTCTATATTCATTTTTTGCGATTGTTTAAAAAAGGGGGCAACTTATCAATGAACTAATAATGCCTAATGATACTGACCAAGGTTATGTATACTTTATGGGATCGAAAATGCTTCCTTCTGCCTGTTTTCATATGTTTTCAGAAGACCAACCATTATACCCTTCTTACCCATGCTCATTGTATTCAGGGTATAAAAAAAATAAAAAGTCAGGCCACACGCAAGAAAAATATACGTGCAAACAAATACGATATAAAAGCGGACGGAGTGTTGGGCTGCAGGGTAGAGGGCGGAGTATGGAGTGCAGAGGTAAAAAAGCAAAATCGCTGAAGCACTCGACCCATAGGAAAGCGGCAAAAATAAATAAATATATGAAAACACCTAAAAGGATTCAATTATTCCCCCTCGTTACACAACAAAAAATAACACGAAGCTCACTCTCTCTCTGCCTCTGCGGCGAAAAAATGCGCGCCCATAAAAGTATGCAACAGAAATTGCTCACGGCATATAAAGTGCTCCCGCTCCCATGCATAGGTGGGGGCATATAGCAAGGCGGGCGGGGCGCTTGGAGCATATGCACGCGCATAAATCGCAACCAGATAGGTACCAGAACGATGACGATGACATTGGCGTTGGCGCTGCCATTGGTATTGCCCATAAAAGCAAGCGGCATGTAAAAAGGACACTCATATTTATATGCACTGATTGCCAAAGCAATGCAACCCAAGCACACACACACGCGCGCGCGCACAGTGCTGACACATGCGAAACGATACGATATATTGATTGAAAAATAATATTTAAGCGCCGCGCAGTAAACTGTAAAAAACTGCGAGCCAGCTCGTCATATCTCATTGCATAGAAATGGGCAATATTATGAAATGTCGGGCATACGACATCTAGATTATTTATATTTATTTGTATTATATGGAATTTTGTTAAAATTCTTCAATTGATATCAGAAAAATGGCAGGGGAACCGAATATATTAAAATAAAATGATACCCGCCCCTTAAATAAATCAAATGAAAAGATTAAAAAGGTTCACAATAATATGAATATTATTAAGATTTGTCCAAATTGTTGTATTCTTTGTAGTTCTGGGAAATAATCTCAGCGGAGCATGGCATCGATCCGAATGGCTACTATCATGGCGAATCGCATCTGCAGTACGAGCGCATAGATGTCTACTACACTGAGGCAAGCAGCGGCAAGTATGTGCCCCGCGCTGTGCTCATCGATCTGGAGCCGGGCACCATGGACTCGGTGCGTCAATCACCCATGGGTCAACTCTTCAGGCCCGATAACTTTGTGTTCGGCCAGTCAGGAGCGGGTAAGTGCTACAAGTGAATTAGTTGCAAGTGCTTGTTGAATGTTGTATTTTGTTTAGGCACAAAGGGGAGCACTATAGCCATGTCCTTGTGTTTGCCTTACGGCAGTTTCACCGTTAATCATTGTCCTTCCCTCCGAAGTACATCGGACAGCGTTTAGCTAATGCATTTCAGCTGCTCATTAATGCTGCCATGTCGTGGCATGTTACACACACACAAACACACAAACACACACACGCACACGCTGCACACACATGGCCAACTAGTTGAAACTCCCGGCCAATCGACCGCTCTGCATCTGCAGATCCGCACGTCCTGCCTGCGTATGCTTTTGTTTTTCCTCGCAAAATGCGCCCCACGGCTGATCGGCAGTTTGTTCAGCTTGTCATTTTGGTGGCCCTCATCATCGACCATATACCTGGCAATAGTTGTTCCAGCAACAGCTGCAACAACAACAGCAGCTAGTTGCAGCAGCTGCAGCAAGAGCACATAATGTGCTGTTGTCATTGCTTTGATAAGTTCAAACAAGATGACGTTGATGAAATTGCGGCTGGGTTCCACTTTCTATAAGCAATCCTGATAAGCCAGCAGTGGATGGACAACTACAAAGGTGGCTGGACCACCATTAGACGGTTGTCACATACTGATTTTTTTTACTCCTCTTGTTGTTGTTGTTGTTGCGGTAATTGTCGCTGTTGCTGCTTGTGCTGGAGACATGGCTGTCCGGATTGTTGATGATAATTGCAATTATAAAATAGCCTGCGGATGACGATGAAAATTAATTTCGTACATGTCACTCATCACAACATGTTGATATTATTGTCGGTCGTGTTTATGTGTGTATGTTTTTCTCTGTGCGTGCCCGTGTGCGGGTCTGTATGTGTATGTGGAGGGGGAGTGTGAGTGTGAGTGCTGCTTAGTTAATTATGTTATTGCATATCTACTTGCATATGTCCATCAACTGACCTCGACTTTCTGCTCTCCAACAGGCAACAACTGGGCCAAGGGCCACTACACAGAAGGCGCCGAGCTGATCGATTCGGTGCTAGAAGTTATGCGCAGAGAATCCGAGGGCTGTGACTGTCTGCAGGGCTTCCAGCTGGCCCATTCACTGGGCGGCGGCACTGGCTCTGGTCTCGGCACTCTCCTCATTTCGAAAATACGCGAGGAGTACCCGGATCGCATCATGAACTCCTTTTCGGTGGTGCCCTCACCCAAGGTAAGTGCGCACCGTTGCACAGCTGCAGATCACACACGCACTCACATTCGCGCTGCTCTCATCATTTTGGCCAGGGCAATCCGCTTAGGCAAATCAGCTTAGCCCACAAATTAGTTTAGCGCCGTTTGTAAGCCGTCGTGCGACCATAAAACGCTTTACACCCGCACGCGTTTTTGTCTAATAACCAAAATGGGCCGCACCATGGCAACAAATGTATAGCCTGCACCAAAGCCTTTTTGTACGTGCCACAAATTATTATGACACGAATGTTGTTGGCATAGCCTTTCGGAGGCTTTCATTACATTAGTGATTATTGCATTTAATACATGTCAGGTGTTTTGCTAATTTTAGTATATAAATACTCATTAATGTTCTCAGTAAATGCAAAACTTTTTTATAATTATAATTATTCCTGGTTTAAGCTTCTACAATGTCTCCTTTACCCATCGATTCAATGGTTGATCTATTGTACTTTTATTTAATATTAAACATATCAGATGTTTTTTCCTAGTTAGACTTATAAGAGGTATTCCTGAAATGTGAAATAGCCTTATATCTCCTTAAAGCTTGGTTCATAGATAGAATTTATATCTTGCTTTGAGCGCAACTAAACTTATCTCTTCTCTTTAAATGAAAATTTCCAAAATTCGGTGTCAACCAATAATCATTTTTATTTATTCCCGATTTTGTTTTACATTTTCGCCAATTTCTATTGATGTCATTTATTGTAAGCGGTACGCGTAGCTGCCAAATAATTCTAATTAATTTGCCGCTGCATTTTGAGCCGCCAACAACCTGCGGCTAATTGACAGTGCAATTTTGGTTGGCCAGTGCATAAGGAAGAGGAACTTTGTGGCAGCCACATCTGTGCGGCGGGTCGCCTCCACAATGGCTGCATTCTGACACGCTTCAATTATTGCTTAATTAACCTAGTTGCATATTTTACACGCACGCCCTGCCCTGGCAGCACGTGAGACGCCTTCATTTGCATTATAATCATCGTGAGCATTTAATTACATTTCGACATTTAATTAAATTAATTTAGTGGCAAATTGATTGTCAATAACAGGCGGTGCCCAATATCCACAAGCGAATAGCGAGCAGCGTATTTAATGCATTCCCTTTTTTTGTTTTTTGTTATCTATCAAAATGATTATTTATTTTAAAACTGCATAAAATTAGTGGGTCAGGTTTTCAATTTTTTTATAGTTAAAATGGAATTTAAAGCTTTTGAATGCCCATTCATTGCGACTTTCAACAGAATGTGAAACCTTAAGGCTTGTCAAACTGCCGAATCTTTGGACTAACCACAACCAACAAGCCACAACAATAATGAAAAAGAAATGAAATCTAGGAAAATGTTTGTGTGTTCATGTTATTCATTTGATACTCTGCAAACATATTTTATTGGGGTAGCCAGCATATCTTATGCGAGGCTTAGTCGAGTCTTCTTTCTTATAGAAGTCAAAAATAGAAGAGTATTATAATTTTGATAAGAAGGAGACATATCCGACCCCATCTTTGATAAACATCAACAGTCGAGTTGAAATAGCCATGTCCGTCTGTCTCTTGCGAACTAGCCTCTCAGTTTTAAAGCTATCGTCTGGAAACTTGTCTTTGTATGCAGTAGATATACAACAAAATGGATCGGATCACTATATCGTATAGGATATATTGCTATTGGAACGATCTGTCAAGAAGTAGATTCTTGTATGGACAACTTTTTTGTTTATCAAGATATCTTGACCAAGCATTTATAAGTTTCACTCATATATATACCAAATCTTATCAATATCGGACCACTATATTACATAGCTGCCCTATCCTTAACGCGATCAGTCATTGTATAACAAAACATTCGGTTTCCAAAAATTTGTTCATCAAACTCAGCATTTACGAGCTTCACTATTTTTTAATATCTGCAAGGATATTTAGATCTTCAGCGTGCCGTAGATATCCTTAACTTCCTGTTTTTTCGGGTTTGCTAATACAAAGCATGCTATTACCAAAATCTTGTCTTCGTATTTTAAAAGACATTATAAATATATACCCTTAATTGCAAATTAAAAATCATGCGATAAGCTTTTCTCTAAGAATTGCCAGTTTATTTGTCTTGCGATGAAGATAACCTGCTTCTTAAACTGTTTACAGGGTATACAGAAGTACAATAGTAAAATACAATTGAACTTAAAATCAAATACATGCCCATTACTTTTACAAGTGTAAATATGCCTCAGATGGTTTAGCCTGGCACTCGATTTAAAAGGCGAGCAGAAAAAGTTTATTGATGCGTGAAATTAGCATTCGACAAACTGCTCATGGCCCATATATATCTCAGTCTCCCACTTTCTCTCCCTCCTGCTCCCGAGATTTTTAGTTTAGCACTCACATAGTGCATATGCAGATCGAATGAAACTTACATTTTGTTGCTGTTTAATTTATTACCGTCACGCTTGAGCAACAATGATGAACAAAACTATGTGAGAATGCGAGTCCACGCTCCGCACTCGTCATTGGGTCAGCTAAACCCCATTTTGGCCAGTTGCCCAGGCCCTCCTATGGGAAGGGTTGCTGGAATTGTTATTTATGCGCTTGGTCTGGCGAATTACCGCAATGTTTTGGCATTGGCGGCCATTTTGTTGCGGCCAGGACATGACACACGCCTGTCACTTAATACGCATTTGAAATTTATGCGATAACTCGCACATTTTAATAGTCATCTATTTTTTATGCGCTTTGCCAGTTTGTTATAAATGCTTTAAAGTTTAATCAGATTAATAAATTGGCATATTTGTAAAAGCATTTAATTGGGCCCATTGATCCTGCGCAGCATTGCAGCCATGTGGCAAATCCTTTTGGATTTGTGCATGGCAAATATTTTGCCTGAGCAGTTGGCAAATACAACTGCAGTAACAAATATGTGTAAGTTATGCCCGGGCATAACTCAATATAATTAGATTCATGTAGTACCTGTTCCAGGTGACCGTTCGTTATCGCCCCAGGACTGCACCATTAAATAATTGCAAGGATTTATGGGCAAACATTTTGCTTTGCAAACAGCAACTGCATTTTGCAGGTAGTGCAATGCATCTTGCCAGGCAAATAGAAGCCTAACCAAAGTATTACACATAATTTTCAGCTGCTGCAAGCAAACACAACAAACGCACACACGCACGCACACACACACGCACATGAAGTGTTGTGTGCAATATGCAATTGCATTTATGCAACAAATGTTCGACCGTATGCCCGTCCGGGCCCCAACACTTTACCAACAGCAGCAGGTGGGCGTCGATTGGGGCAGCCCCGTTTTCCTTATCCGTTTCCATTTACGATATGGAGCATTGTGCATATGCATCTGTTGTGGAAATGCAATTTTCATGTACTTCGCTTGACGCATTCCACAACAATGCAAACTCAAAATACATTTTCAAAATCAGAAACGAGTTTCTATTTTCTTCATTTGAAACATGTTGGCTGCTAGTTGAAGCTTAGAATTATTAAGATACTGTATACACGGGTAGATAAAATCGGAAATGGGCATAAGCTGCAATGGATATGGCTTTAAATGCATTCTAATTGCATTTAATTGGCGTGCACAGGCCTTTCGTTTGATCTAATTTGATGAATAGATATTCATTATGTTTGAATATATTATTCCTTTAATATAATTAAATTCATATGCAATGTGATTAGTTTTCTCAATACTGAGATTGCTGTTGTTTACCTTTACCTGTCGTAAATGGGAACAGGTGAAGGCAGCTGGTTTCCACGAAATCTTGACAAAGTGCAAACGGAGACGGTTTCAATTAGTGTGAAGGGCAGTCAATGCGAAATGTTCTAATTTCTTTTACTAGTCTCTAATCACGTCTATTCATCATATCGTATCTACCAACTTGCGTTTCATTAGCTCTGGCAATTAATAAATATATGTATTTGCTTTTATTTTTCTTGCATGCAATCGCCATCGCCTGCGCCGCTGTTCGCTCCCGCCCATAGGTATCCGATACTGTCGTGGAGCCGTACAATGCAACGCTCTCCATACACCAGCTGGTGGAGAACACAGATGAGACGTTCTGCATTGACAACGAGGCGCTTTATGATATCTGCTTCCGCACGCTGAAGCTCTCGTCGCCCACGTATGGCGATTTGAATCATCTGGTTTCCGTAAGTGAATTTTAATCAACAAACCAACTAATGTGTGTGTTTCGGTTTTGTGTTTGCACTCCCATACCCTGTTCCCACAACATCGTCCCCGTCCACGTCTACGTCCACATCGTTGTTGTTGTCGTCAAGGTGTCCGAGGTGGTCGTTGAGCCATACAATGCGACTCTGTCGGTGCATGAGCTGTGCGTGAACACAGACGAGACGTTCTGCATTGACAATGAGGCCTTGTACGACATTTGCTATCAAACTCTGCGCCTTGGCTCACCCACCTACCAGGATCTCAATCATTTGGTGTCTGTAAGTAAATGGCAAAGGATCCAACAACAACAACTCGCTACCTAAATTCAGGAATAACAATCGCAAACAAAGCCAACTATTTGTACAATCCCTTATAAAGAATCTCTTTCCCGTCTAGATCACAATGTCTGGCGTGACCACCTGCTTGCGTTTTCCGGGCCAGCTCAATGCTGACCTGCGCAAACTGGCTGTGAATATGGTGCCCTTCCCGCGGCTGCACTTCTTCATGCCGGGCTTTGCGCCGCTTACGGCCAAGGGTTCGCAGCAATATCGCGCGCTCACCGTCGCCGAGCTGACCCAGCAAATGTTCGATGCCAAGAACATGATGACCGCCTGCGATCCCAGGCATGGCCGCTACCTAACCGTAGCCTGCATCTTCCGTGGTGAGTGTTGAGACCTTTTTCCTGATAAATGCCCGCTGTTCGGGTTTCACTCTTAAGCGGCGTTGACATGACTCGACAGGACGCCACGTGCTCTCTGACCTTTTGCTCGCGAAGCTCACGTGAAAGGCAGCCGCGCCTGCATTCCAGCGAAAAAAAAATGAAAAATAGTGTTTTAACAACAAGACCCAAACAGCCACAGAATACGCGGATATGAGCTTGTGGCCAACTGTCTGTGTGGGCTTAGGCTTAGGTGTCCGCTGCGCAGCTAACGCGGCTTAGGACCAACTTTGTCGCTTTGTCATGGCCAGCAGTTGGCGCACCTGTCCGCCCGATAGGCCGGCGGCCCAGAGGCAGGCACGTAGCGCGCCTTTGCGACAGCGACAATTTTATTAGCAAACGCAAAGCCTACTTATGGGCGCCACTAGAAATGATTAATGCACGTCGACTGGCGGCTAAAAAGGCTGCAATCCGTCAGCGCGCACGTAGCTCAAATTTGTTTGTGTCCAGCCCCCGTCCCTGCCATCTACCAGCTTGTACCAAGGCGAATGAGGGAAAGGGGGGTCACATTTTTTCGCGCTAATTTTTAAATTAATAAACTGCTGCGCTGTGGCGCCCAAAAGTATGCCGCATAATATTTCATTTGTTATTCCTTGTGTGCCTAGCAGCCGAACGCCCGAACGCTCGAACGCCCCTCCTGCCCGCCCGCACGCATTTCGCCTTTGACTGATGACTCGCAAAACGCGCGTAATTAGAAATTTACTTTCAAGATCCATTTGGGAATTGCGAGTTTCGCTCCCAGTCCCCAATCCCAATCCCGCGACCGCCGCTTGACACGGCTTTTGGGCCTTAACTAATCATGCTGAACGTGACTTAAGGCTGCAGCGCCAGTGCCTGTCGCAGGCCTCGTCGCCTCCCCACGTTCCCGCGTCCGTTTGTCCGCGCTTGCAAAATAATTAATCACAAAAATGAGCGCCAGCTAAAAAAAAAAAAGAAAACAACCAACAAGAATTTAAACAGCTTTTTTAGTTGCCTCATGGGACTGTTTCTGTTGGTGTCCGTCCGCAGCCCGCCCACCTAAAGGCAGGCATCGGCACAGGAATTGCCCAGGTGGCCAAGTGCGTTGGCAGGGCTTAGAAGCCGTTTAGTATTTCATATTCAGGGATTTGGGGATTTACTTGACGCTTCAAAGCCAACTCAGCTTTTGATGTGAAAGAAAGCGAAAATGCGGAAAAACTGATGCCAGCAAAGTTCAAGTATTTTTACACTGCACTCTTAATAATTAACAGGACCCATGTCCATGAAGGAGGTGGACACACAAATGCTCAACGTGCAGAGTAAGAACAGCAGCTACTTCGTCGAATGGATACCCAACAATGTGAAGGTGGCCGTTTGTGACATTCCGCCACGCGGCCTCAAGATGGCGGCCACATTCATTGGCAACACAACAGCCATCCAGGAGATATTCAAGCGCATCTCCGAACAGTTTACGGCCATGTTCCGCCGCAAAGCCTTCCTGCATTGGTACACTGGCGAGGGCATGGATGAAATGGAGTTCACCGAGGCGGAGAGCAACATGAACGATCTGATATCCGAATATCAGCAGTATCAGGTACGACACGAGCTGCAGCTTACTTTGACTTACCTATGATGCTCATAATCCATATCCGTTTACTCTTTCCAGGAAGCCACCGCTGACGACGAGGTCGAGTTCGACGACGAACAGGCTGAGCAAGAAGCTTACGAGTCGGAAGCACTGCAAAACGGCAATGCCTAAACAAGAACTCGACACTTTCGCGTTTTACTTGTTATCTGCAGGACTATCTATTAGACTAGATTTTCAAACATGCAGACACACGGAATGAAAGTTAATAAACAGTAAACATAGTATTTCATTTTCTGTACGCCAACTGTGTATTAATTTTTGCGTGAACAACTCCAACAAGTCGCTGCTTAAACCAGTTAGGAATTATAAGTGTGGCCTTGAGTTTAACTAAATTTTAGATATCGAAGCCTATAGCTTATCTATTCAAGTCAAGCAGCTACAGCATAACCCTGCTTTTACTTCGGACAAGAGCATTTTTTTAATGCGGACGGTTTTGTACATTAAGAAGGCCCCCTGAAATATTTAATTGCTGTCTAAAAATCTATCTGGACTTTTACTTTGCTTTTAATATTTCGATAACATTTTGACCTGTTCTCAACTATTTTAAAAGTCATAGATATAGCTTCTATGCAATAGGTCTAAAATTACATGCTTATAGGATAAATTGGTAAGGATCATTCGTGGTATTCAGCAGGGATCATTTCATCCACACGCATACATTCTGTCCCTTCCTGTTGGTATTTCTTATTTCGTATATTTTTTTATACTATCCTTGACCGTACATTCCACTAATGACATTTCCGTTTTAAAACTTTGTCCACTTTTATTGGGTCGTTAGACTAACACTATAATGGATAGTTGAGCAGAACATCCTGTCGTGCCAGCTCCAACAACATGGGATCGTCGAAGAACTTGTTTATAGACACGTCCTCGGAGAGACCCTTGCGCCGACGTGTCTTGATCATAAACTCACGGGCCAAGTGAGAGGCTTGCTGTGGCTCCAGCGGCCGTATGATAATGCTCTTGTCCAAAGGATCGCCTGGTACGATTTGCCAATGGTGGAATACAGACAGGCAGAATGCCTGACCTTGGGTGTGAGTCCGCAGATCTGTCTCAAACCCAAACGAATCAATTGCGGGTATAAAGGCTTTGATTGTATAAATGGGCGAGCCCGAAACGGGCGCATCCTGCGTAACGTGACCTCTGCAAACACATAGAAAATGAGTTCACATCAAGAAAGAAGTCATAATTTCGATAATTTACCTGCGCCGTGCGAGGACAGTGTATACGGCAGATACACAATCCGCGGGTGCCTGCACCTCGACAAACAGATATGGCTCCATCAGACGGGGCGTGGCCATGAGGAAAGCCGAGTAGGCGACACGACGTGCTGTGGGAATGATTTGGCCGCCACCACGATGCAGTGCCTCATTGGCTATGACCGCATCTAGAATTTTGAACTTGACATTACGTATGGGCTCCTCGCAAAGCGGTCCCTCGCGCGTTCCCCACTGAAAACCTTGCACTATCGAATCCTTAACTGCAGTCAGTAGATTTTTATCCACCTCTGAGGGCAAAGTATCATCCACCAGGATGTTAGGTCCAGTACTATCCGGACCGAACGCCCAAATTGAACGTGCGGCCAGCAAGTCCCAATCATAGTTAACTTGAAAGAACTCGCCAATGCGCTTCTTATTCCAATTGATGCAGACAGTCTCGTTCTCGATGTCCTCTGCCAGCCCCTTCTCCAGCGGCTCGGATATCATGGTAATCTTATTCTTTTTGTTTGGCGTCTCTGCGAAACACTTCAATGAACTGGTCTCCACAACGGTCTCACAAAATGCCACCACTGGATCGGCCACCTTGATATCAATCTCCGAGTACATTTTGCGTAGATCGTGCATGACACAGTCTAGGTAGAGCTCGCCCGTGCCTAGGATAACGTGCTCACCCGACTCCTCGACGCGGGTGGAAAGCAGAGGATAAGATTTGTTCACCTTACGCAGACCGTCCAACATTTTGGGCAGTTCTGAAGGATTCACCGGCTCCACAGCAATCTTAATAATGCTTTGAGTGTTAAACTTGAGCGGCCGGAATATATAGAGATCCTCGGGCACATTAATGTCCACGATGCTGGATGTTTTCACAATGCACTGATCAATGCCCTCGATGAGCACCCAATTGCCTGAGGGCACACGATTCAATTCAACTTTGTAGCGAGCCTCATAGACCCAGAGTCGGCCCACTTGGAGAATGCGCGAATCTTCCTCGTCCTGCAGTGTGTAGTTCTCACCTAGCACACGCACCTCCTGACCGGCATGCAGTGTGCCGGACACAATTCGTGCCAGCACCTGAAAGAAGGTGCAGTCGTCGTTAGGGTACATCTTAGAGCTGTGCACCATCAGCGTGCCGTATTGATTGCACGTAATCATGTCACGGTAAATATCGCCCTCCTTGGGGCCCGTGTAAATGTGATCCACTTTACGCTTGGCATTCTCCAGCGGTGACTTAATGTGCTCCACGCACATATCTACAAAACCGCTGCAATCACCCATAAAACGATTGCACACCACGCGTAGCAATGGACGTATATTCGACTTCATCTCATCTTTGGATACTCGCACATGCAGCTCCGACAAGGTGTCGGCCAACGTGGTGTCTACATCCCCCACAACTTGAGCAATCAATTTATACATAGGCTCCAGTATGAACTCCACAAAACTGCGCTGAGCGGAGCTATGCGGTGGTTTCTTAGTGAATTTGCGCCTGTTATAATATAAAGAGTTCATATAGGAACATTTTGGAAGCTTTATAATCCATACTTACGACTTGCTATGGAAATACATATCACCCCAGAGGCGCTTAGCAAACTCATTGTAGTTGACGCCCTCATACGTGTCTGCATAGAGTTTTGCAAAGGACTTTAAGGTGAAGCAAAACCCATACAAGGAGCTTGCAAAGCAAACGTTACCCAGCACGGGGGACACCATCAGATTATCATCGGCGTTGCCATAGGTGCTGCAATAGATATAGAGTAGGATTTAAAAAGATTCTTTATAGAAATGAATTTGCCCACAAACCTCAACAAGCTGTTGACTTCCTCGACAATGTGCTTAAGTTTAAAGTACGCGTCCTGTGGCGGCAATTTAAGCTCCAAGATTAAGCGATCGATCTGAAATAAGAATATAATGTTAGTACTTAATACTTTCATAGATCAAGCATAATACGCACCTTGTTGATGCACACAGTGATGGCCAGTCTCTCCTGCACAGCATGCTTAAGCAGGCGTTCGGTGTTTAACATCACTCCCTCGGATGCATCAATAAATAGCACCACGCCGTCACTCATGCGCATGGCGGCGGTTGCCTCATCTGAGAAATTAACGTGACCGGGCGTGTCGAATATGTTTAGCAAGTAGCTCTTTTGCTTGACATCCTGCAGAACAAGCGTAACCGGAGTGGCTTTAATGCTGCAACCCCGCTCCTGCTCTGTGAAGAGCGTATCTGTGTACCGCAGTGATCGCTCCTCCATATTCTCAAACTGAGGATGCGTTTGACGAATTAGGCAATCCACAAATGTGGTCTTGCCGTGGTGCAAGTGACCAATTAGCGCCACATTTCGAATCAATGGCGGAGTGTCCATCAGATCAGCCATGAATTCCATATCATAGGTAGTTTCGGGCAGATCTTGTTCTTTGATCTGAAACTTCAGCTTTTTCACGGGCTCAATAAGCGGCTTATCCAGTGGTTGTGCATCCTCCTCCTGCACAATTGTCTCCACATCCGGCCCATACACCTCAACGGCCGATGGATAATATCGTTTGTCCTCATGCAGCACAACAGCCGTCACTTCTTTGTCTTCGTCATCCTGTGGCTCCGCTTCGTCCTCATCCATGGCATCCTCCTGCACAAAGTAACATATTAGCATTGGAAAAGTTTAAAAATTGAAGAACTTACATCTTGATCATCGTGCACATCGGGCTGACCGTAAATGCTCTGGTCATCATCCTCATCGCTGTCCAAATCGGGCCCTATATAGTTGCCAAACTCATCATACAAATCGGAATCCATTCTGCAATATATACAAACACACATATTGGCGAGAAAGAACTATTTTATAAGCGCGCGAAGCTCATTCTTCTCTCATATATATCCTTAATAACGAAATTTTTTTTTTTAATAGAAACATGGGTCACCCTAATGTATATGTATGTCCCCAATCGCTAAACGTTTTCGTGGTACAACCGGCATAGCCAAAACAGCTCAACTAGACGAAACAATAACTTACCTTGACTATAAAGCTGTAGTTTTTGTCGCTTATTTCGTTTTTCTTCAATTTACAATACTTAATACTTGTTAATTATCAAATTACAAATATGTTCAACAAGAAAACGCGGAATACGATGCACGCCACTCTTCTTCTTTGAAACTAATCACACAGCTGACCGGCAACAGTGTGACCAAAGCAAACGATAGTCGGCAATTTGTAGTATTGCCAACTTCACTCAATGTGCATGTGAGGTATCCCTGGCGCGAAACCAATATTTAAATGGCCATTTTTCTGTCATATTTTTGCAGCCGTCTGCATCATAATTACCTTGGCCATCCCTTAGCAGCAATTAAGACAGGTAACAAAATAATTTTTCCGGATAGCTCAGGTAGGTAACTAAAGATTTCATTTTTGCAACAGTTTGTTGGGGTAAATAGTCAACTGAGTTACTTACACACAAGCACATCAAAATGAATGTGTGGCTAGTTTTGTTGTCTGTTTTATATTCAACCACCATTATTTTCTGTAAAGTTTTAATTGCTGATAATTCAATTACTTTGCCGAACAACATTGGCAGTCGCGAAGACTGGTTTATATTGGCCAAGTATTACGCCAGCATTCACAAACCGTATAATGTGAAGAAATATGTGCCTTACAAGCCTTCAAACAACACAGCTACAGTGGAAACTCCTTTAGCATCATTACCGATCCATACCAGCACCACGGCACTGCCGGAGATCCCAACTCAAACATCAAGCTATGATTCTAAGTGGAACAATAGCACAGAAGGCGATCATATCGAACAGACTAGTGAAACAGGAATTGTTGAAACAAGTACATTTGAATCTACAACGGAAACATTGACGAGCACCACAGAGATGCCCGAAACATCCACCTTGTTGCTGTCTATAATTGGGAAAACACCAGGCATTGAAGCTACTACCTCATATTACGATGCTATAGTCGAGAGCACCGAACAGCAATATTTAAGTTCTACAATCGAAACAGGTTCAATGGTTAATGAGGCCATTTCAACCACTACAACATCGCCTGAGCCCGAAACAACGACCGAGCTGAGAGATTCGACCTTCCAAACGTATAACGAGACAAGCTATACAAGCGAAGCTCCTGCATCGTCTATAGATGTCACCACCGAAATCAGCTTTGATGCAGTTTCAACATCATCCCCGCCAGAGACGACAACCGATGTGGGAGATACGACAACTCGACCTCCTATATTCACGGTCGAAACACCATCATCCGCCGAAGAAACCACTAATATCAACTTTGTGCTGCCAACAACGTCCTTCGAACAAGAAACCACAACGGAATTGGGAGTTACAACAACCTCGTCGGAACCGGACACTACAACAGACGAGGCAGATACGACAACCCAACTTCTTATAACCACAACCCAATCACCACCAACCACATCATCGCAACCGGACACTACAACAGACGAGGCAGATAAAATAACCCAACTTTCTATAACCACAACCCAATGTCCACCAACAACATCATCAGATCCGGACACTACAACAGACGAGGCAGATACGACAACCCAACTTCTTATAACCACAACCCAATCACCACCAACAACATCATCGCAACCGGACACTACAACAGACGAGGCAGATGCGACAACCCAATTTCCTATAACCACAACCCAATCACCACCAAGAACATCATCGGAACCGGACACTAGAACAGACGAGGCAGATACGACATCATCTGAGCTGGAAGCCACAACAGAAACGGCAGATACAACCACACAAATACCTATATCCACAACCCAAACAACACTATTAGAGAATACCACAACTGAATTACCATTTATCCCGACCAGCACTATTGCTTTTGAAGGCACCACCGAAGCTGATGCAGACGTCGAGGTAACTACAGCTGAGCCGATGGCCAAAACTACCTCTGGAAATGCCATTCTTGTGGATGATATAATTCAGGCTAAGCCGCGAAAGTTTACATATTCTTCAGATGTAATGCCCGAGATGGAATGGTAGTAAAATGCAGAAACTAAATAAAAACTTTTTTTGATAACAAAACTATTTGAATGTGCTATTTTATAGAGGGATAAAATTTAAAAATAAAATACAATGTACTTTAAAACACAAACAGCTGCGTAGCGTTGCCAGACGATTGTATCGAGTTTACCAGGGCTTCCATTTCAGAGGTATACAGCAGAGCGCAAAAAGAACAAAAGCAACATTTTCTCGCACCCAGCCCTAGCAGCAGCTCAAACCAAAAATATTAAAAATGTTTAAATTAACGAGGATACTTGCTAGAAATGGTGACTGAAAAACAAATAAATTGGAAAAAAAAAATTAATCAAGTGTTTTCCCATTAGTTACTGTGGCCAAATTGACGGGAGCCCGACACATGCGCCCACGTTTGTATGCCAATGCTGCTGCCTTAAATGAGGAACAAACGCCGACGGCACCAAACCCTGACGAACCAATTGACATAGCAAATCCCTATGAAAAGGATCGTCAGGTGTGCATATTGTGTAAGCACAACATAACACCGCACTACAAGAACGTGAAGCTACTGTCACAGTTCCAGTCACCCTATACGGGTCGCATTTACGGGCGCCACATAACCGGGTTATGCAAGCAAAAACAGGAGGATGTCGAGAAGGCCATATTACGCGCCCAGCACTGTCTAATGATGCCTGGATACCACAAGGACTTGGACTTCCTGCATGATCCCAAGCTATTCGATCCTGAGAAGCCTGTGCGGCCACATAAATATTAGACACATGATTTGCATTTTGTTTGGTTTGCCGTTTGTTTTTGAACGTAGCGAAATACATCTTACAATTAGCAGTAAGAATACATTTGTGTATTGTACGTTTATCAGTCTTCATCCAAGTACTTGACCATTTCTAGAGGTATACCCAGTTGTGTAAGCAGCGTTTTCTTTGGAACTCGTGGCATAACCAACGCCTGTAAATCATCCATAGCCGCAACAAAACCATTTTTCCAAGTCTCTATGTCTGCCTCAAGTTCAAGTATTTGACGTTGTCTCCAATTGTCAGGGTGTGAGTTTGAAGTTTCCTCCGACGGCTTCTGGTCGGGCTTTTTAGGCACGACCTCAATGGCGTCAGTAATGGCAAACTCCAATCTTTTCTTAGTCAGATCCTTGCGCTTTCGTGTTAAGCCAGGACGTCGGCATATTGTCGAGTTCGCCTTTAGTTTCACCGGCAATGCGCGTGGAGTTTCGACAGCATCAGCAGAATTTTTATTTTTCTTATCTTCTGATAGCGGCGTTGCTGTCCTCTGAGATTTTTGTAGACGTATGCCAGGCGTAGTGTCAGCTCTTTTGTGCAATCTTAATCCCAAGCGACGCCTCGGCCGTGGCGTTACATCAGGCGTCTCAGCCATCCAAGAACATTCAATTTGTCTAATGAAGCCTCACTAATTTTTAGAGTTGTTTAATCTGCAGGCGTTGCCAGACAAATAAATAATAAAGCAGTTGACGCATATACACACACACACACATATATAAATGAACGCATATCGTGATGAAATTCCAATGTCCCTTTTACTGGTTTGTATGACAGCGTTTTAAGCCCTGGATAATAAACAATAGCTACTTTCCCATTTAAAAGTTTTGCAATTTGTTACAATAACCAAATAAAAACAATCTTTTTTTTTTAATTTTATTTATGTTATGAATATATAAACTTCGCGCTTCATCTCGTCCTTCCAATTGGGGGTTGTATAAAGTCTACAAAAATTATGCGCTCTTTATCTGCTCTATGATTATACATGTACTATATGTAAGTTTAATCGCATTGCCGACTAAATGTGACCTGATACTGATAATTGGGGAATAAGAATTCATTCCACCATTCCAAGTGTAATTTGGCTTCGAATAAAAATCTCAGCACTTGCTAAAATCGACGCTGATATGATTAGAAATTATTCTATGAACTATGTGTACGAGCTTACGAACTTAATAATCATAAATGAGAATACACAAATTAAAAAAGAGAAGAGAAACAGGACGCCATATACGACGCTCCACTGCTATCCGAAGATTGAAGATTGGCAACAAAAATTCTTACAAACAAACCTAAGTATATTGAAGCACTAGAATACGACTATTTTGTATGGGCAGGCACGACTACGGTAGCTTGTGATAGCGCTCCACGTCAACGCCGCGAAAAGTGACTTTGCAGACGCACTGCTGGGCCGTCGACAGCATGACGAGGCACTCGCGGCAGACCAAATGACGACAAGTGCGTATCTCGTAGGCAAACTGACCGCTGCGGCAGTTAATGCAGCTGGGTGGCTGCAGAGCCGTGCTCACTTGGGTGAAGCGGGTTATCTTTTGCAAAGCCTGTTGCAGTGCCTGGTCAATGGAAGACGTTGTTCCCGCCGCGGCTGACGTTGTCGGTGCTTGATTGGCGCTGCTAGCGGTAACAGTAGCGCTAACTGTATACGTTGAGTAGCTGTGTCGCGGCCGCTTAGCAGCTGGCGGCGAGGTCGGCGAAAGGGAACCTGAGAATGCCGATGTGGCCGTGGCAGTGACGGTTGACTTGGTCTTGCGCTGCTGCTGGTGCTTGTAGACGCTGCTTAATGAGGAATAGGTGCCGACTGCCATGCTGCCCGGCAGGCACATGTGGCTGGCAATCTGAGATGCGTGGCGACGACGCATTCGCGAGCTGCCCAGTAAACGCGGCACTGATTTAAAGTGCTCCGAGTGCTCCATTAGAAACTTTTCAATGCGCGCCTTGAGCGCCAGGTTTAGTATTGCTTTACGTTGTGAGGTATATTCAAGTCCCGTGAACGGATCGGAAGGCAGGCGACCCCATTTGGCCTCCTCCTCCGAGTGCTTATCTATAGTTGATTGATCGACAACCTTGCCGGATGGCAATACCGTGGGAAATATCTACATGAAAATGAGGGGAAAAGAAAGAGGGGGGAATCGTAAAGGGAGGGGAACTAGCAAAGGCTTAAGCTACTTACCATTAACTCCCAGGTGATAGAGTCGAGAAACTCTTCTGGTATCTCCAGCATCGATTGTTCGCGCAGTTCGGGAATGTGACGCGAAGGCGAGCGCTGGCCTGCCTGCTGTTGCTGTGCTTGGTCCCTGAGTCCATACGGATCGCTTACCTCGCTCCATATGGTTTTCATTAGCTCACGATCAGCTTTATCCAGGCTGCGAGCGGGTAGACCCCACATTTGTATCTTGCGCAGTACCGGAGGACAGCGTTCGGTGGCACGAATCACAATCTTCACACTGTTTGTTGTGCCCAGTATCTTATGGGCCGTCTTGAAGAAGAACACTTTCTCGCTCTGCTGCTGTGCGGCTGCGGCACTGCTGCGCGAGTTATAATCGCTTTGATAGCAAAAGGTAACAGAGTCCATACCCTTGGGAAGGTCACGCACGTAGGCAACGCGCTCCCAAATGCCGTCGTACTTGCCATGTACCTCGAAGCCAGTGGAACGCAATGCACCAGAGCTGGGCCATAGTTTAATCACCTTCAGATCGATAGCTTTGGGAAAATCAAAGACAATCTCAACGGGCGGCTTGCAGACTTGAAAGCACATGAAGCCTCGTTCCATCTGCTCCGCATCGTCGGCTATGAGGTTTGCAGCTGTATAGCCATCCTCGCAGACAGCGTCGCATTCCACAGAGGGCTTAAGTTTCGGATTGAGAAAGTTGATTAGACTACTCATTGAATGCCTGTGTGTGTTCCCGTTCTCTTCTGTGCTCTGCTATTGGTCACGCGGCGTTGCCGTTGCGTCTGTTTCGCCCCACCTGCTCTGATTTTTTTTCTGCTAATTCGCACAGAAAATGGCGTCACTGGCTCCTGTGTTTGCTATCGTCGCTTACAATTACTCACGCCTCTCAAGCACGTTCGAAATTTCCAACACACGCGCAATGAAGCGTTTAAAAAAACATTGACTTTTGTATTGATTCGTCCGTTTTTCTGGTAATTTTCCAACAATCCTTGCCTTTTTGCAGATATTTCCTGCCCTTTTTCTTCTCGTGTTTTAATGGCTAATAACTCAGCTGTTTAGAATTATGATGCCAGCTGCCTCAGCTAGGGTTGCCATATGTGCACATAGTCATACTATGCCGAGGCAAGTGTGGTATTTTAGTACACAGCGGTATTAAAGTGCATTTTTATTAATTGAATTTTCAAAGGCTTTCATATAGATTTTATTTTATGAAAGTGGATTCTTTGGCTTGACACACGTGTGCTAAAATATTTAAAATTATACGACAACATTTATATTTATTTATATTAAATTAATTATATATTAAGCTTCGACTGTCGATTAATTAATGAGTATTTTTAGTACACCGTAGAAAAAAAGCGATAGGCACAAAAAGAACTATCGAATCTAAGCGTTCTGCTATTTAAAAAGGTATCGTTTCTAAAACATAGTATATTTAAATATGAAACAATAAATCATGTTTATAATATACTAGCGGGTATACACAGGCAAAGATCAAAGATCATTGAAAGCGGATTTTAAACCGATCGGATAGTTAACAAAAAACTTTTATTTAACCGTTTTCTGCCAACTTACCACTGTTGCAGGCGATATTTTCCGAATCGCTGAAACACGTATTCACTATGTAGAGCTTTGAAAATAAGTTTGAAGCAAATCATACAAAACTTAAAACTTCACCATAAAAATCTTACAATCGCACTTTCCAAAGAGGAAGCTTTGATTTTTTAAAAAATGTGAAACACGTTTCAAATGATTTTTCATATAGATCCTTGCAAATTAATTTGAGCGATCGGATGGTAAACAAAAAAGTCTAATACAAACGTTTTTCGCGATTTTCCAGAAAGTCGGGTGGAAGATTGGATCAAAAATAAGGTTTCGATATCGACTTTTATCGACTGCTTGGAAACAGGGAACAAAATTTATCGGCTATTATGCGCGGGCACGTTTAAAATTTCATGTCTCTAGCTCTTATAGGTTCTGAGACCGACGTTTTCGTTGACGGAATGAGAAACGGATAGAGAGAGGGACAT